AGCGCGGCGGAGTGTTCCTCTCGCTCTCTGCTCGCATTACTCCGATTGCTCGCAGTGCTTGTAGTGCGGTCGCTAGTCGTTGCTGTACGGTCACGCGTCGCCCCAGTCGTCGCTCGTCGCTCTTGCGTCTTTCACGAAACAAAGCAACGCACATTTACGCGCATTTACTACGTAAAGGGCGCCGCGTTGCCTGTCGCGACGAATCGCGTGCGACGTGATGCAACGGTGATCGAAACAAGCTCGTGCGTACATCTGTCTGATGAAAATCGTTTGCGATGTGTGCTTTGTGCAAAGCATTTTTCGAGAACATGGTGGCGGCGAGGATCTTGGACTTTTCGTGGCGTGACGTCCCGAGCGTGTGAGTGAGAATCTCGTATCATTTTTCCTTACGGTGTATTTTCAGCTGGTATTTCGAATTTTACTGATATTGTGAGATGAGAAGTTACGTCTGCCGGTCTCGAATATCGTTAAAAGTCAGTGGTGGTGCAAACTGCGAAACAGTATAGTTACGTACGTCGGACTACGTCGTACGTATCTTTATGTCCGTGTCGGATATTACGCACTGGAAATTGAGGATTGCGAATTAAAAAATTGCGATCAGAAAAATCGATCAATCAAATAATTTTAATTTTAATCCGCTTCCAGAAATCCAGAAGTCCAGAATTCTTATCTTTAACCAGCATTCTTAATCTCCAATGTGTACAAGAGTGACACCACGGGCTTTAGGCGTAAAATATATATGTGATGTGACACATGGACTTTAGCCATAAAATCCGCATAAAAGAAAAGTTGTGATATTAGAAATTGATAGCACGTGAGATAACGCACATGAAATTGTATTGGATATATTCATAACGTTATTATCGTTATTAACTGACTTTAATCCACACGTCTGGCATTTTCTCATTCTACACTCGATTCTACAGAATTGAGAAAAATATCGACTCATCAAGAAAAACGCGTCATCTTGTCAGTTACGTTAGATGCCAAGCTAATGTGCGAGTTTCAAAATAAAAGGAGACGTACTTACCTGTGTAATGACGTGAGAGTGCGTAAATGTTTCTTATCACGTTTATAACGTTCCGAACTGTCCGTCAAAAAAATCGCGATGGAATTCCGTATTTAAAAATAAAATTTCTGTTTTTCCAAGTACCATATTGCATATATAAATTTATCGTGATTATCAAGTTATTATTAAATCGTGATTACTTTGCTTCCCGATTTTCACGATACTACAGTGAATCTCGATTCGATTTTTATTCTATGTATAAAAGCCATTAGAAGGATTAATATAATGAAAACATTTCCCCTGGAGAGTCCTCCACTTTTCATAAAGTTAATTTAGAGATACAAGAAAATAAAAATATCTGTCTAAACCGACATTGATTATCAGAAATATTCTGTTTGCTTATTTATTATTAGTTTTTTAGAGTTATTATCACTCGTTCAAAGAAAAAAGGAATGAATATCCCGCAGAAAATGTGTATAAAGTTTACTGTTTGCACATACTGCGATACGAAAACATGTATAATACTCACATAATAAACGACACTATCATTAGAAAAATCATATTTGTTTGTTTCATTTATTATCCAAAGCTCTTCTTTTATCCAGTTTCCAATTGTCCATTTGTCACAAAACTATAATCGATGCCCGCGATTGATTTCCTCTCGTTCAGACCAAAAAAAAAAGAAGAAAAAAATATTACGTCATTGAACATTCTCCTTTCCGTGATTGCTCTGTACAACAAGTAGATTTGAAACATATATTAGCAATACTAACTACAGGCTGGTAATGTATAGTAATAAGTTCGTTGTTTGTTTTTTTCTCTCGCGCTTGCACATTTAAAAATATTGGTATGGGTGGGTATTTTTCTATGATGTGTTGATAATATATATGAATTAAGGAAGCATATCTGGAAAACATCCGATATCCGATCTATTATCCAGTATGTTATACTTTTTTTACTATCCTGTCGGATAGCCGGATATCATTAATATCCGACAATATACAGGATGGTCCATTTAAATCGAATATCTTGAGTATTTCGCTTATTCTTGATAACAAAAAAATGTGTTTCAAACGGCAATGAAACGATTTCGAGGGGGACGAAAATGCTGAAATGCTATAGCCATCATGAAAAATTATTAATATTAAAAATTATTAATATTAAATTTTAACTTTAATATTAAACTTTTTTGATTGCTAAGCAATGTTGAAATTGTATTGCAAATGACTCTATTCCTCAGCCGATCAATTATCACTTTTTTCCTCATTTATCATTCCCTTGCTTTTCTTTCTTTTTTTTTTTAAAGAAAATTTTGAGGAATTTGTACCGGATATCCGGAAAATATCCAAATAGCCAAATAATTCGATCGGATATCGAATATCCAGTGTCATATTCTTTTCGGATGTCCGATGTCTGATAATTTTACTCTCTGGTGCATCCCTAATATAAACAGCAACACGATGAGAATTACACGTATATCTATAAATACGACATAGTGTCAAATCCACACCGATATTTTATATAATGTAATAATCTCCCGTAATATAACGATTTTCCGTCATAGTTTTTATAGTAGTCAAAACAGATGAACGTTATTAAACGCTGACAATGGCAAATCTTTTAATCTTGGAAAAAGTGAATTCTTAAAGAGCCTTCGGAAACGATTGTCTTATCAATCCCTATCAAATTAATTATGTTAATATTGTACGTAACATATATAAAAAAAAATCTCTCTCACGTGCTAAGGAAAACGAATTGAAGAGATTTTTTGTTTACTTACATCTTTGGTAATTGATGTAATGAGGCCATTCCGAAAAGCTTTGTATACATATACGTACATCGTAGTATGTTATTCTTGACAGCATCACCGCCTAACTTTTGCCTTTTATCACCGTCATGTAATGTAAAATTGTTTTAATTGCGGATATTACAACGTGCTTAAGAAATAGGTTTGTTTTTTATTGCTGCATTCGGACTACAATAGAACTTTTCACTTGCTTGCGTCAGACACATGTATATCTATGTACAAAGAGTGTACATTAATTCAACTATAAGAAACATCTTATTGTACACTGAGAGAAACGTTTGGTATTTGTGATATAATTACATGTAAAAATAATTAAGAACTTCATTTTTATAATTATTATTACCGTTATATAATGTTAGTAATAATAACCATATATATGCACATTAAAAAACATTTTGTATTTATGTCAGAAACGGTTCACTCAAATCCTTTTTAAAATTTTGTGTTGAATTTTTAACATATCTAAGTTTTAATTTAATATAATATAACATATTGTGTAATTTGAATATTTTGTGTTAAATTAAAATTTAACATTTCTCAGTGTTAAAATAACACAATTTATAGATAAGTAAACAAATAACATAAAAATAATGTAGTTTTAAATCATAAATTGTAAGAATAAAATATATGTGTTGATTTAACTTATATTATAATATTAATTTTATTAGAAGAAATATGTTCTGCGCAACTAGTTACGTATTTTATATTTAAGAAGGTACAGATATTTGGTGTTATTTTTTCTTTGTAATAGTAAAGTATCTGTTAAATCTATATATTGTATAAGTATGTTAAATATTACAGAGGCATCGTCTAAATTAAAAATATAAAATAGCATTTAATCTAATTTCATCTCATTTCACAGTTAAATTTAGCATTATAAGCATTTTATTTCAGCATTTATATTAAATGCTAAAATTTGTTTTTAAATTGTGTCAAAGTATCATGCTTCTTGTGTTAATTTTTTTACATAATATTTGTGTGTTACTTTTTAACATATTCATCTTATGTTAAATTAATCCAAAAATTTGAATGGACTATTTGAAATATGTGAAATGTGTTAATTTAACACAAAGTTTTTTACTGTGTGTATATAAAAAACTTCTACTGTTGTGGTTTTCATTATGGTAATATTTAATACTTTGTATCCATCCAGCCTTGCAACTGGTTTAGGAAATGTATTTCTTTTATAAGAGAAAATTCTTGTGATTTGCTTTTGACATCGCAATAAACAATACATCTTTATCACTTTTAAGTATGTAATATCAACATCGTCATCATCAATTTCGGAATTATTGTTATCGCTGAAGAAGGTTAGAAGACTAATCAAAACATATGAAATTGCTTAGATGAATTAAATTCTTAATAAAATTCTTAATCTTATACTCGTATTCATAGTCAGGCCTTATATTTAAGGAAGCCTTAAGTCAACAAGGTCTGATTATGAATACGGGCATTAGATTCCTGACTACTCAGCCAAGAACTCTACGTTGACGGTAGCGGCACAGAATCAAACGGTCTGGCGAAACCAGTAGCCAACATTCAAGCACGTATGTGTGCTCGCCTTCCAACAGTTCCACTAACATTTGGCAAATTAGTTATTAATTATTAGTTTACATATGTCATATTTGCATCTGTAATTAAATTCACAAAAACAATTTTGTATTGATAATTTCGTACATTTAATTGAGTTGGACACTTTTTACAGAATATTAAATAAAGAAACATAGCTCATGTGACTTAAATTTATTAATTTGACATGCGCTCCATATTCAAACGTGATTTTTTAGTAATAAATCGAAAAAATAAAAATTCAAAAGAAAAGAAGAACTAAAAATTTCATGATTTACAATTATTTTGCGAAACATCTAGTTAAGCTATTTCTTTATATCTCGTCGAGTTACCCCGAGAACTTAAAAAGATTTGATAATTGAAAAAGTTATGCTAAAAAATACTAAATAACAATTTATGAAAAGAGTGCAATAATTTTTTTTTTTTTTTTCAAAAAATTATATATATCTTTATGACAAAAAAAGGTACAAATAAAAATAA